CCCGCCCTCACGCGCCCCGCCCCGCCGCTTGCGTCCCTGCGGGTGCTAGGGCACTCCTGGAAAAATGTTTATTCGTGCAACAATCCCGGGTGGTATTACTTCCTCCTCTTCTTGGCCGCCTTGAGCCTTTCCTCGATCAGTCCCTGGGCCTGCTTCTTGATCTCGGCCCGCGACGGGACGTAGCTGTGGTCCACGTCGCCAAACTGGAAGCTTTCTGCACGGGCGGGAGCGGACCGCTGGTAGCCTGACCCTGCGCCCGCCACGCCCGCCACCCCGGGATTGAGTTCGCAGCCGCTTCCTACTTCCGGTGTCGGGGTCCTGTGACCTGTGTTGCCTGGCGGTTGGGGAAAGGCTGACCCCTGGCATGGCCCATCCTTAGAGAGGCATGGGCTCAGGAGTTCCACCCAGGGATGGACGAAATCGGAATCACCTCCCTCCTGTGACTCACCCAAACCCTCTGACTTCAGGCCACCAGGGCCTGTTGGAATGAGCCAGTCCTAAGCTGCCCACCTGCCTTGCCTTTGGCCACAGAAACCCTTCCCAATGCTCTGGCCTGGGTCTCTCCTTGTGGCTCCCGGTTTGGTATGCCCCTCCTCTCGGGAAAATTGTCATACTTCTTCTATGGCTATAGACTTTCCTGGTCATCACTGAGGCACCTCCATTAATGTAATCCCTCTTGGCACCCCTGTCCCTCCAGGATGTCCTGGTCAGATGGAGGGGATATCTTCCCTTACCTTTGCAGCTCAGACCCACTTCTGATTGCCACTGTGGCCCCTCCCAGTGGTCAGGTCCTCCTGAGCAGCCTCACCTATCATGTCCTCCTCTGCATCTTCAAAGGTGATCCTAGTGTTGTGCTTCTCCTTCAGAGTTGAGGACTCCAGGGTGTCCCTCACCTTTGTGCTGACCTGTAGGTCAGTGCCCCTTTCAACTTGGAGAGGACCTGGGCCATTTGGGTGCCCCCCTGGCCCAGAACTACCTCCTCAGTCCTGGGCAGCATTTGCAGGCGGTCAACCAGGTACATGAGCTTCCCCTGGCAGTATGTCAGCTTACTAAACAAATCAAGGGTATCGGAGGGTGCCACTTCTTTCTGTAGGCCAGAGGATGGTCTCGTCTCCTTTCTGGCCCCATCCAGAGGCCCTGGGTACAGCAGCTCCTCCCTACTCTGCTGGTACCTGGGCAGCAGGCAAGGCGATGCCGATGAGCCGGATGTACAGGTTGTCAATGCCTGTCTGGAGGATCAGCAGTAGCTGCTGGCTCCTGGTCATGTGGTTGTAGGCCTCCTGGAGCCTGGCTTCTTCCTCCTGCAGCATGTTCTTTATCTTGGACTCAATGGACTTAAAGCTGTGGAGTATGAAGGGAAACACAGCAGGGAAAGTGGCACAGTCCCCAGAGCCCAAGGAAGGCCAGGAAGCCAGGTCTGAGCTGGGGGCTGTGCTAACCCCAAAGGCTTAGGTGTTCAGACACCAGTAAGTGTGTCCCCCAGCTTCTACAAAGCCACAGACTCATCATCTGTGAGCTCCCAGCTGTTGCCACATGGGGTGGTCCAGCAGTCCTGGAAGCTGAGTACCTGACAGAGCTGGGCATCTGGTGGAACTTGAGTAGTGCCTCCTCCAGCTCCAGCTTCTTCATCAGGGCCTCCAGCTGTACCCGCCGCTGCTCACAGTCCTCCATCTGCAGCTCCAGGTTCTCCTCTGTGTTTTTTTGAGCCAGGAAGCAGCCAGCGATGTCCTAACCAATCCAGGATACAGAAAAGCAGGTGTGGGCCCGGAAAGGCAAACGGGGCTTATGCAGCCTGGGCCCCTCCCTTTGGCCAGTGCAGGTTTTCTGTACCAGAGGCTCAGTCTGATGCTGCCTGCTGCCTGCCACTGAGGACTGGGAGTGGGGGAAGGAGGGCAGCTACAGGGCATGTGTGTCCTGGAAGAGAACCTTCACAATGGGCAGAGGATAATAATCCCACCTGTAGCCAAGGAGACCATGAATCACCTTGAGTTCCTGTGTGACAATAGACAAGCTCATATCAGGGACATGTATAGGAGCTCAAGGCCCAATAACAAACCAGGTAGGATTAAAATAAATGGGGCCTGTGGGAGGCAGCTGCTCGCTGTGGCTCAGTCAGGTCGGGAAGGGGTGGGAATTGGAGGTATAGGCTGTTCCTTAGTTTTTAGATGCTCAGGTTCCAACAGGCTCCATATGCTTGAAATGGGTTGCTTTGTCCTGGGAGTACTCTCCAGGGGCTGTGCCTTGCAGACCCAGCTCCTTCCACACCTGAAAGCATATCTGGGGATATCTAGGGGGTTCAGCTTTCTGTGTCCTTTCCAGAGGGCTTGGCCCAGCTCAGATGCCCTCCTGCCGTGCCCTGGGAGTGTGAGGGAGTCTTACCCAGAGGTGAGAGCATCGCACTGCAGACTTGACCTTCTCCACCCAAGCAGTCACCTCCGTCTGGTATTCAAGTTCTGCTGCAGAAGTTTCTTTCTTCTTCACTGGGAAGAGGAGAGGGGAAGAGGTGTTAGCATGCAGGGATGGCCACAGGATGTCTCTGTACCTATCCAGCCATTGGGGAGGTCAGCTGAGGAACCAGGTACCCCAAGTCACCTGTACCTGTGACTACTCCCTTCTTGTGGGTCCTTCTGGGACACTCCAGGGAAGCCCCAGTGCAGAGGAGGGCAGGGGGCAGCATGGCACTATGGGGCTTCATGGTACTTTCAGAGGCAGCTCTGAGAAGTCACTGGGTAACAGCTCCTAGGTGCTGGGAAAGGGATCCCTTGGCCATACAGGCCAAGGGCTCACAGCCTCTGCAGGGGCTATCTCCTTCACTCGAGTGGCTCAGGTTCTACTGGGCCTTGTGGTGACCTGACTTTATGGTCCCAGCCAGAGCTGGCCTTGGAGAACCTGACTGAGCAGGCAGGAAATTCAGACTAACCCTTCAGAGTATCCGAAATCATCACACTGGAGGGGAAGTCCAGGTCTGTCTGGCCCTGATGGGAGAAAGCAGGTGAGAGTGAACTTGGCCCTCTGGAGGGAGTGGCCCTTCAGGCAGCCCTGAGTGGAGGGTCCTCCTGGCCCTCCTGTGGTGTGAGTCTTGATGGGTGGGGATGCCTGCCAGGCCCAGCCCAGGACGTACCCGGCGGTACTTCTCGCTGGTCTCCTTGCTGTGGATCTTGTCAATGAGCTTCTTCTGCTGGTTGAGCCGGTTCTCCCGTGCCCTGCGCTCCTCAATGAAGGACGCCTCCTTTTTCCTCATGTTCCTCTGGGAACACAGGTACACCATGGGGGTGCTATCTCACCACAGCCATCACTAGCCCTAGACCCAGTGGTCCATTTCAGTCCTTGTCTCACCAGGTTGTGGAGTACTGACTGAGGCTTTTGGCCATGCCCTTCTCCATGGAAGCTCACGCCCACTGGCCCCCACCATCCTCGTGGGGTAGACACCCCTTTGCCTCTCAGCACAGAGACTCCAGGCTGGCACATGCTTGCCCTCTCTTGCAGCCCAGGCTTTCCACAGCACTCGAGACCTGTGCATGTCCATATGCCTCCCAGCCCACTCAACCAGATTCCATCAAAGTGGACAAAATATGTCTAAAACCAAATTCATCATCTTCCCTCAAGGCCTGGCCTCTTCTAGCACAGCCTGCTGCAGGGGCTGGAGCCTGACCAGCTCCCCTGCTTGTGCTTGCTGACACTGCTTTCTTCGTTGCCATCCCCGGTGTCAAAGCCCACAGCCGGGACCTCTTAAAGCCTTCTCTGTCTTTTTCTGGCTACTGGCCTCCACTGTAGGCTTGGCTAGGTGGCCAGCATTTCTGCCCTGGAGCCTTCCAGCCCTGGCAACCAGTGTGAACCATTTTGAAGCACAAATATGACCATGTCTCCATCTCCTCCCAGGCCCCAGGTTAGGGGACCCTGCTGTCTCCACTGACTCACATACTGTACCTGCAGTTCTCTTCCTCCGGCCACATGTACCTATGTATCAAGATCCTTCACTTTTCTGTCCCTTCTCCTCCTGCGCTCTTGGCTGCCCCTGAGTTGCTGGATCTTTTTTTCCGAACCCACTGAAGCACTGTGTCCTTGGAAAGCCAGCCTGGACCTCCCCTAGTAGCCAGGAACTCAGATGGACTCTGTGATACCCTACACATTTCTGCCACTCTGGCCCAGATATTGTGTAGTATTTCTTCAGGGACTAATGGACCGGCCCTACCCACTTCAGAAGGGTGGGCATGTCTCCCCAGGGCCTTATAGAGGTCTTGGTACAGACTGGGTCCATGGGGGCCACTGCCCTGGGCACATCTACCTCATGACTGCCAATGGGAGCCCTCTCCCCCCATGCAGTGGGTGGGCAGAGCACCTGGTGGGGCAGTCTGCTGGAGCCTTTGAGAGATTGCTGTGATGTGGGCATGGGGGTGTACTGACAGGTCTGGGCCAGCCACACAGGTTTGAGAGAACCACCTGTAAAGGCCCCAAACCCTGGGGCCTAAACTCACCTTGACCTCATCAGTAATCATCATGGCTTCTTGGGACAGGACTGACATGTCCGACAGTTCTGAATAGTAGTTGACCACCAGGTTCTGCAGCTTGTCCAGCTCCGTGGGGTATCCTACAAGTACCTGCATGGAGTGGGCACAGGCAGGTGGGCATGGAGGCCACAGGCAACTTCAGTGCTGCCCACACTACATGCTGGCTTCCCTCATGCCTCCCTGATTCCCTTGTGGCCCCTACACAGAATGGATCTCACCCATCCTCCATCCTTACTGTATGAGCTCTGAGAATAGTGATGGGGTCTGATCTGTGGCCCTAGCCTAGAGCAAGGCACAGGGACGATGAGAGAAATGTTCTGGGAGAAACAGGCAGCCTGGAGACTCCCACTGCCCAGGCCTGAACATGGTAAGGAAATAAGGTTCTACACCAATAAAGACTGACTCTGGAGCCCAGGAGGGTTTGCTTGGGGGCAACTCCCTCTGCAAGTGGAGCAGAGGGGCTTGAAACCTGGGTTTATGGTCACAGAATCCAAGCTCAAAGGCAAGGCCACTCCTATCAGCCAGCCATATAACCTTGGGAAAGTTACTTAACTTCTCTGAGTGTCTCTGTCTGTAGAAAGGTTATACTGGTTCTTTCAAAAAGTTGCTGTCAGTATCAATGGACAATGTAAGATGGAGTGTATAGCACAGGGCCAGGTGCAAAGGGTCAAAAAGAGTTTAGCTATTAGTAGTCTGTTGTTAATAACCACAAAGTCCCGATTTTTTTTTTTTGCCAAATTTTTAAAAAAGTGTAGATTGCTATGGGAATTTTAAAAAAGTGTACATGTTCTGAAAAGAAGCAGGTACTACAGAGGAGAAACATAAGGCATGCCCAAGGGAAAATATGGGGAGGGGGCCAGGAAAGAAAGGTGGGCAAGGCTTCTAGGTGAGCGTCCAACACCAGGGCTGGAGGCAAGACAGGGGGACGGGAGGATGGCATTGAGAGATGGGTATGGGGCCTGGGGTTGGGAACTAGACCCCCAAGGAAAAGCTGCCCTTCCCAGCCTATCCACCTGAGCCCAGTCTTAGGGCTTCCCCTGCCCTCCTTTCTAGGCCCTGGGCTCTCAGGCAGGCCCATCATGCTGTTCTCAGCACCTGGCTCTCTGTGAATCTCCCCCATCTCTGCTCTGAAATGTGGGAGGCAGCGAGGCAGTGACCAACCTCCCTGAAAGGGATCTTGCCTCACAGTGGGATTTGTAGCCATCAGGGGCCAGGATCTGTTGTCTGCTAGAGTGGAGCAGCTGGATGGGAAGGCAAGCAGCAAGCTGTAGGCCAGGCAGACCTCCAAGGTACAGAGGTGTCAACTCTGGACCATATTGGGGAACTGAGGGCCAGGCTGGTCTCTGACCCTCACAGGCTCACACTAAGCCATTTCCTATGTCTGAGAAAGTCCAAATGGCTCTGCTACACTCTACAATTGCATTCTTGAAAAATGAGGCTCTTAGATGTTTCCAAGTACTTTAGAGCCCTGTTTTATTGGCATCCTGGAGGAGAGCGCAGGTCTGGGGACAGCCCTGTCCCACCGAGACCCGACCCCCAGGCCAGAGCGGGGAGAGGGGCTCACTTTCTTCAGGTAGTCCAGCAGGCCCAGGTACAGCAGGTGGATGTTCTGGCAAGTGGTGATCTTGATCGTCGTCTTTTCGATGTTGTTCTCCAGCTGGCGGATGACCTGGGTCAGCACAGGGTTCATTGAGGGCGCCTGGGGACATGCCAGCCAGTGGCAGAGACCCTGCCCAGCACTCGGCTTTCTTCCAAGGGGTCGCTCCCCTAGTGCAGCCCCTCCCGCATGGCTGCGCCTTCTCCATTGGAGCTCCGCTCCTCTAGAGGACCTGTCCTGCCGCTGAGTCCCCTCCAGACCAAGGAGCCCTACACTGCAGGGTCCGCCAGCCAACAGAGCCCTGCCCCCGTAGCCCCGTCCTTTCGGAGGCTTCGGACCAGGCGAGCTCGCAGAGCTCCGCGCCCGAGGCACCTGCAGCATCCACTTCTCCTCCTTGGAGGCTTCTGACTTGTTCCGCAGGCTGGCCAGTTCCAGTTGCATGCTTTCCAGCCTCTCCTCACGCCGCCGCACCAGATGGATCAGCACGTTGTGCGCATTCACACGATCGAAGACGTACTTGCGCAGATTCGCCCGTGCCACCTGGGTTGGGGAGGGCAACCGTGCGTGCGTGCGTGCGTGCACGATGGGGCGCCGCGGGGCACCCAGGAGGGACGCGTGGCTGCCCTACAGGAGCCTTGGGATGGGAACTTGCTCTTCTCTCCGCAGGTTCCGGAGCACTGTACAGTTAGGGGTGGGTCATGGGGCAGGGCGAGGGGTCCACCCCTGGCTTGTCAGCCTCGGTACCTCCACGGTGCTGCGGCCTTGCGCCATCCTCATGTGCACGTCCTTCCCACAAGCTTTGGAGATGGTCCACTGGTCGTTCTGCAGAGGGGTGGCAGATGAGCCAGGCATAAAGCCCAGGCGTCCTCCAGCCGCCGGCCCCTGGAGGCATCTCCCTGAGGCCTCTTTTACCAAATGCTAGCCCAGCACCAAGACCTCTGCTCCTGGGGCCGCCGGAGGAGAGCACCGCGCCACCCGAATGGCCACGCAGGAGGGTCTGGCTTGGGTGCCAGGGGCGGGTGCAGCGGGACTGGGACGTGCGTTTCAGATGCCGAGCGCTCCGAGTGGGTGG